CAAAAGTCAAACTATAAACCAGTCCAAAATTAAACGGGTTAAAGAATATATATATATATATAGGTCTAATAGTTAAAACAAAAAATTGTTAATTTGTTTAGAAAAAATAAAATAAATTGATTTATCAAAAATAATTCGGTTCTTATTCGGTTCTAAGTCTAGAACCAAGAACCGAACCAAAATTTTTCGGTTCTTCGATTCTCGATTTTTCGGGTTTTTAAGTTAAGAAAACCCGCTCGATTCGATTCGGTTCGGACATTTTGTCCAACCCTAATATTTGCAATCACACATTTCATCAACTTTTATTGAAATCTACTAAAAATCTTATTTTTATATAAACCAAATAGAGGCTTAACGTGAAGTGCACCTTGCAATAAAAGTACTGTAATAAAACTAAACTTGAATCGGTAATCAAATTAACGCATAAAGCCACTGGACTAGTTCTGATCCATTGGCCATATTTCACTTGCTCAGCAGTTCATGCATATAGATGCTGAGCTCAGGCTGAGACACCTCTGAAGAGAAGAAATATGACTCCAAGGTTTCAAACAATTTAGGAAGATGTTAAATAGAAATTAACTCCATAAAAATTAAAAACAAAAGAAAGATTCCCACATTATGTAAGCAAACAATTTCTAGTACACAACAAAATGAATCTTAATTTGTAAAATCTCAAGAACATACGAAAGTTTCTACTCACGGTAGTAACTGACAGTGCAAATTCTATGAAGGAAAGAGGGGTCATAGAAGTACGCAACCAAAATATAAAAATTAGCTAGCAGCCTGGTCGTTGGCTGAAGCAGAAGTGGGTTCTTCAGATGGCTGTGGAGAACCATTGGCAGCAGAATCTTCGGCAGGTGCCTCTTTAGTTGCATTTGACGCTGCATCTTTTCCATTTTTGACATTCTTTTCATCCTTAGCATCTTTACTGTCCTTAGCAGGAGCAGGAGGGGGTGGCAACATGTGAGGTGGGGGATTATGCTTCAGCTTCACCAGTATATGGCGCATCCTTGAAAGCTCGGTAGGCTTGCCAGGTTTTGGCCCTTGGACGATGGTGATTGACGGCTTATTGTCTTTATCCCTCTTCTTCCCCTTCTTTTCAATATTGGGTACCTCATTAGGAATGAGCTCAGCTATGGCTTTCCAATATTGTTTATTGGCTTCTTTATGGAACTTTTCTTGACTGGCCAGGAATGACTGTTAAAACATAGGAATTCAACAAACGAGTTATTTTAATCAGAAATTGAAAACATAAAAAGAATTAATAGCTGGTATAGTTTTATATGACACACCTTTTCTCTCTCTCTGTTACTAGTCTTGTTAGTCTCTAAACCAAGCATTCTTTTCTCGTAGAAAGCTTTTTTAAATTCTTCAGCATCCTCTAGAATTTGGTTCCGCAATTCTTTTTCCCTCTTCTCCTTCTCCTCGAGCCGAATGGCATTTTGCCTGCATCAAAATCCAATGAAATTAACAAGTTTCTCAACACATTAGTATTACATCGCTACATTATCTCTCTTTAAAGACCTTCTCTGTTTCATAATTCATGCTTCGGCCTGGGGAGAGAGGAGGACATTAGATAACACCAAAATAACAGGTAAATTTGGAACTTGGTCTCTCTTCCTCTAAAGCGCATTTTTTGTTCCCTATTCAAGCTTTTCATGCAATGTCCACAACTGCTTTATGACCAAGGGAAAAAGGGTCATGGTGCACATTTTTCGTTCCCTATTCCTAGTCATAAGATTTGTTAATGGACGAGTTCACTTATGATGCACCGACACGGACACGTGTGTCTGAAACGATACGTGTCGGATATGCCGACACACGATTTTTAAAAAAAGTACAAACACGACACATCATCGACACGTTGATTAAATTCTTCATTTATATATTATAAATTTAGTTTTATACTTGATATTAATTTTTTTTGTTGAAAATTTTTAGACATGAGTACTTATTTGTTTCTTGCTAATAACTTTAAGTTAACAATATATAATATTTCTAATATAAAAAGAAAAATGATTACGGTAGAGTATCCGAGAAGTGTCGATATTGACTCTTGTCAGACATGGACACGCTACCCTAATTGAAGTGTCTGTGCTACGGAGCAGTCAACTCTTATCATCTCCTCTGATGATATCCTCAAGGAAAAGAAGGAAGAAAGGAAAAGAATGATGTTAAAATGGATATACAAATAAAGCATAGGGCCTGTTTGGTATGACTCAAAATCCAATTAAAATGGAAAATATAGCCGTTATTGGGTCCCACTCATCTAATAAAAGTCAACAATAATGGCTAGTTTTTCAATTTTAATCCGATTTTAATCTCTACCAATCACCCTCATAATCTTCAACATGTTTGAAAATCTCAACTTCTGAACCGGTTACATATAAGCCACGTAGGACAAGTTTGGCGCATCATATTAGACGGGTTAAGGATTATATCTGGTGTTTGGTGCAATTAGTACCCAGATTAAGCTCATGTTTGATTTGGATTTTTCAAAACTATTTTTCCTCAAACTCACTTTCAACTACACATTTTCTCAATAAAATAATTTTGCACATGGACACAAAATTTCTTCCTACTTTTAACCACACATTTTCCAAAAAAAACAACTTTTCACAAAATAACTACTCAAAAAATTAAATCAAACAAGGGCTAAATTAATCCGGGGTTCTCACCCTCCTTTATTCATCCATCTAAAATTAGTACGCTTTGTAAAGCTGGGTTCAGGCCATAGTATTTATTCGCCAATATATGAATTAAGAAAAGATTACATAAATTACTTACAAGTAATAACAGCTAAGAATTTCATTTATAAGTAAAAACTGATAAATAAAAAGTAAAAAAAATATTAACTCATAAGTAAAAAAATTCATTTATAAGTACAAGATTTGTGAATGAGTAAAATTTAACTTATATATAGTAAAAATGCTTATATAAGTAGATAAATCATGAATAAGTTAAACATAACCTTATATCTAAAAATTTTACTTATAAGCAAAAATTCATAGGAGAAAAAAGTTCAGTTACATGTAGAAAAAATGCTCATAAGTAAAAAATACAACTTATATAATTAAAAATTCAATTATAAGTAAAAAAAAATTACATTATAACTAAAACATCACTTATAAGACAAAATATCACCTTTATTCCAAGTGAAAATACTATTAAGGGCCTGTTTGAGCCTCATTTTTTGTGTAAAATGCATTTTGAAATAATAAATTAATGGACAATGTGTGATTAAAAAGAAAAGAAAAGTTTTGGGGTTGCGTGTAATATTATTTATTGAAAAATATGTGGTTGAAAAGAAGAAAGAAAAAAATGTATTCGGAAAAAAATGAGAATCAAACAAGGCCTAAATACTAAAAATTCACTTATAAGTATAAAAAATCACATACTTTAAAAATTCACTTTTGAGCTGAGCTACAAGCTTTGCGTGGTATACGCTCAGACAGCTCAATCCCTTGCTTCTTC